AACAAAATATGTTAAAAAAAATAAAATAACAAATAATATTAATTATTAGCAATTGATCACTATGCGATAAGTCAAGATTATTTTTCTGATCCCGGCCTATCAGAGCATCTACTAAAGTTTAAAGTTATTTATCTACTTACTTAGTTGTCAGACTCATATTGAACAGGGATTTACTCTGATAACAACTTAATGGTTAGGACACAGACCTGTGGGTTAGGAGATGCTAATGCTAATGCTAATACTCATGTGGGATCTGACTTAAAGAAAAAGAAACTGGATCTGGAGTCTGGATCTGCATTTCCTCCTGCCGGCCGATACGCATTTTCTTGCAAATATCGGCGGCCAATTCGATCCAAATATCGGATCGGGATGAGCCTAGTGACAACGTGATGCCTTCACTGTCCTTATCTTTGCTTTACAGACGTCTCTACAGAGTGTGAACAGGATTTTTAAGCCTGTGGTGGGACGATGCTCCTTCTGGTCCCTGGAAGGACAGCTTTATTGGTTCGTTACGGTTTCTTTGCCTGCCCACACCTGGCCTGGGCTCACCTGCGATAAACAGCGATGCGTTGCGACTGGTTGCCACGCCGACGCCGTTCCGGGCGACGCAGGCGTAAACGCCTTCGTGCGACTGGCCCCGCCGCCCCCCCCCCACGCTCAGGAAGAACAGGCTCCCCTCGGACAGCACCATGGGCGTGAGCTGCCCGTCCCCTTGGGCCGTCTCCAGGGGCTGGCCGTTGCGCAGCCAGCCGATGCTCGGTTTCGGGGCGCCGTCCGCCCGGCAGGACAGCGTGGCCGGGCTCCCCACCCTCACCACCACATCGGAGGGGTGGTGCACGATACGGGGGGGCCACTCCTCAGCCTGAGCCCTGGAACCTGAGGCAGAAAAATGTAGACCTTAAAGGGGACATATTATGCAAAACCGAGTTTTTAATCATTTGATTATGTACATTTGGGGGTGTGGAGGGCCTATCAGCAGGCAAAGTGTTAAAGAAAATGACTGGGTCATGTTTTTGTGGGCTGCCTCAGTCTGAATCCAGGAGATAAATCAGGAGGTTTCAGGAGTGGGTAGTTTCTGACGTCATTAGCTCTAGCTCATTATAATATTCCAGCCTTTCACCTGCATGTTGCCCCCCCCCCTCAGCTTACTCCCCTATCTGTGGCAGACGTCGTGCTAGCGTGAGCGTTAGCATGGTAGCGTTAGCATGGTAGCGTTAGCCTGGTAGCGTTAGCGTGCCGACGTGGGCACACCTCCCTGAAGAAGTGGGTGGATTGGCTGTGTCTCATTTGCATTTAAAGAGACAGGCACTCCAAAGCGAGCGCTCTGAACGGGGCTGTTTTGGGTTAGGGTTAGGGTTAGGGTTAGGGTTAGGCAGGGGGACTGAACTGCTATTGGGCTTCATCCTTATGGGATTTTGACCAAAGCTTGTCACAGACATCACATTTGTATTCATATTCTTTTTTGGGGGGGGCTATTCACATTTAGTGTGTACCTGTACTTAATCTGTATTTTTTTGCATTTTGCTCTGTGTGCTACTTTTTTGCCCTGTAAAGTGCTGGTAACTTTATTTTCCTTATTTTCCAAGGGATCAATGAACTACAAGTCTAAGTCTAAGTCTATGATATGTTTGATGCCCTTACATGTCATGACTCGTCAGAATATGATCCAGTTTATCTAAGGCTGAACGTTCCCAGAGTTTAAATATATACTATAAATATATATATTTGTTTACAGTGTGGATTAGCCACACCCAAAAAGCAGACTACCACACAATACGCACCATGTGTGAGATCATGCAGCGGGCAGAAAACATGCCACTAACAAACAATGTCTATTTGCAGGCGGCTCCACTGGAATGCCATTGTTTGGACTTCCCATGAAGTGGGACTATCACACCGACGGAAACGTGAAGACCGTGACCCGCTTCCTGACTTTAGAGGAAGCTGGAAGGTCTCAGGGACACCAGCTCCAACAAAAAACCCCAAAGCTTCCCTACAGCAACGGCACATCTGCTACATAGCTAAACGCACACACAAACACACCTTTTTTTATTTTCCTCAATGCTTTTTATAAAATGTAATGAATCCTGGTGCATTAACAGTGAATCCAGAATACATCCAGATTCGGTCATGCCACCAGTGACCCTTTTTCTGAAGTATTCTCCGCTGAATACTCAGAAAATATAGAAAATAGTCAAACTTCAGGACCAGACGAAGTCCAAAGATATGTAAAAAACTGCAGACATTATGAATCGTCTGAGAAATCAAAGGAAAATTAATAATAATCTGCTCAAATTCTCATCAAAGTCATTTGATGAGAATAGTCATAGTCATTTATGAATCAAAAGGCCATTGATACAATTACCAGTTTTTCATAAAGCGATATACAATAGACAAATATTCTGTTTGAAAGAATGAATGGGTATTTTTAGTGGTCAAACTTTGTAAACAGTAAAATCAGGATGAAGATGATCTGGCCCTCGCTAATGATCGCCAGAATAAATAAAAAAAAGATTTAATCATGAACGTTTCATGAATAACTTCCACACAGAAGACCACACAAACAGTTTTTTGTGGTTCCTCCTAGTAAAACCCTCACGTTGAAGGGTTTGTGGTCTGGGAGGAGGATTTTGATTGGAAATTTTTAGTTATTACAGATTGGGGGAGATGTAGTTATCAACATATCTGATCATTAAGAGGATGACATCATCCACATGAATGAAACCTCACAAATAGTTAGGAGTTGGGATAACATTAGGATGGAGAAACCTTATCAACACCATACCAGATCCATCAAGAAGATGGATATGTTTGTCTGTTTTCAATAAACTTTTCTGTCTTTTTGGGGGGGGATTTTGAAAAACTGACCTGACAAAATAATATTAACAGGCGAGTTAAAGTTAAATCATAGAGGATGTAGACGATTTGGATGCTGCTTGATATTGATAATTTACCAGAAGATATGATTATAAAAAAAAAAGAACTTGTTAGTAGGTTAATGTAAGAAAAAGCTGATGTTTTTTTTGTCATATTTATACTGCACAGCTTTACCTCAAAGCTATCACCTATACTTTAACTGCCTTCAACAAATCATTTTATTATTACTCAAGAGAGAAATTAATTCACAAAATTAGCTGTTATTTAAAAAAATAACCTGTCCAGAAATGTGTCCGCACTTACCTATAAGAGTAAGTCCAAAAATCAGGATGAATTTCCGGATAATTTCCCATTTAACCATCATGGACGAGCAGCTAAATTAACGGTCATTAACGAATATTTCAAAACTGGAGCTCCTCAACCAAACGTTTCCTGCTGAATTAAACAAAATTGAATTCATAAAGATAATTTATTTGAGTATTTCTTGTAGTTTACGGACCAGCTTTTCCATGTGAATTTTTTTAAGCGTTTAGATAAACCTGAGCGTGAAACTTTTCTACGGTCTGGCGTCACCAACGGCTGTGTAGGTGAGAGGTGACAGCCATACTCCACTAACGGCTACTTCCGCTTGCTTTGCCTTTCAAAATAAAAACAGTCATCGCAAGAGATGAGTTAAAAACGCGTAAATATCGATTACAATGGAAGGATTAGATCTCTATTCGACAACATCTCGTAATAGGGTTGCGTAAGACTAATATTTAACCCGTGAAAAGTTTTAAACTAATTGTTTTTCAGTTCACCCGTTTGTGTGATAGTTTTAATTTGGAGGCAGCAGGGCGGAACATTTCCGGAAATATTTTAACTTTTTGCTCAAACTTAGTCATGTCATGTCTTAATCATTATAAGAAACAGCGATTGTTTCTCCCTTCCTTTAATATTAGCACAGATTTATTGTTTGAGCATGACAAAAGTTATTTTGTGGCATTTATTCACTTTAACAACGTTGAAATTGAGAAGTTTAACCAAAAATACTTCAGCTCACATGCAAACATTTAATGCTCAAAACAAATATT